AGAGGTTAAATCAAGATAACGGTATTGCCGTTTTGTGATAGTTTCATCCGACAAAACAGCAGTAACAGGCCATCTGTTTTCTAGCAAGCTTCTGATCATGTAAAAGGTGCTGTTCCAACGTGTAGGACAATCTTGCTGAAGCTTCATTACAGGCTTTCCCATATCCAACTGCTTCTTTTTCAATGCATCACTAGCAAGAGCACTGTGTCTAAAATGAGTAACAAGTTTCTTGGCAGCACCAACTGCTCGACTAATAGCAGATACAGAAAGGCCATCTTCAATACACAACTGTAAACGATGTGCTGCGCAACATACACTTGCACATTCCAATCTTTCTTCTAGTATTTCACCAGAAAGAACCATGTTAGATGCAGCATCATGGACCAAGGCGACAAGTTGAGAATGCTGTTGAAAACCAAATGCATGAGTGATGTCCTTTAGCTTCTCGTAGATGTGACTCCCAGTGTGATGTCCAGGAAAGGGACTACTTCCAAGTACACAGGAAACTAGCTGCCAATCAGAATCAATGAAATGTGCAGTCAGGGATATGTATGCATCATTAGCACAGCTGGTCCATATATCACTAGTGAAGGCAGTAAAAGCATTTTCATTCTTTAACCTCTGCATCATTGCTCTTTTCCCTACTTCATGTTTCTGCCGGATAACACTCGCTATATGTGTATCACTAGGGATCTTGTAACCTGGCTCTATATAATTCAAAAGTGCACAAAATCCTTCTCCTTTTACAATAGCAGCTGGGCGAAGATCTCTGGCAACCATGTCAGTTATCAGCTCAGTTATGTGCCTTGAACGACTAGGGGGACACTTGCTTTTAGAAAGAAAGCCATCAAGTGTTGTACTCGTAGAAGTAGCTGAACTGTGTTGTAAGTTATAATCCTTTGGATGTATACGAATAAGATGGTCTCTTAAGTTAGTTGTCCCTCCATGATAAGCCATTTGCTTACTACACAGCTGACATGATACACGCTTAGGCCCAGCCTTTTGAAAGTACTTCCACACGTCTGACTTCTTTCTGTTAGTCTCAGGACTTGTACTTGTACTTCTCTGAGAGGCACTGTCTCCAACATCACTGTCCCCGCCATGAAAAAGGTCATCAGTATCAGACTGAGTGTCAGTGTCAGCCATGTTTAACATGTGATTGTAGTTAATTAATAATAATTATTAATAACCATGATAATAATTAATAATCATTAATAAACATGTCAATAGTAAAAAAATACAATTCGAACATTCTATATTCGAACAAATATTCGAATTTTATTATATTCGTTCATGCCCTAGTCAGAAATACCTCAACTTCACTGGGATCTATACCAGCACCACATGAAGTGGCCAATTTGCTGATTTCACTTTTAGTCATAAGTAATATGTTTAAAGCCTGGAGAAGGCTGCGCAGAAAAACCCACCTTACAGGTAGACCTGTAACATACTTAGCCATATTTCTGACAACCATTTTTCAAGAATCTTCTTGGTCTGTTTCATATCTGAGAGATCAACATCTTCAAAAGTAGCTTTGATGCCATGTTTCTTAAATATTTCTTTGAGATTATCCAATCTCAATGATTGCTGATTACAGGACGGCTGGCGCATAATGATTGGTGGCTCTGAAACTTCCATTTGACTGAGATCTCACAATGTGCCTGATAAGCTTCCATCTCGACACATGAGCATTAAGCAAGTGGTTGACAGACGTTTCACATTCTTCATAGCAATCAGAAACCAGTGGCTTACACAAGTCAGTACTATCTGCACTGGATGCAAAAAATAATGGCAGTGATCTCTTGCAATGCTGGCCAAGAAATGGGAGGAAGTTGTATGCTGCTTTGCTGGGACCAATATTGAAGACATTGAGGAACGTAACGCCAGGCTCAAGGAGATCTAATTTTTCCTGGTGATTCTTGAGAGCCTTCAATCTCTTTGTTACTTCATAGAAGAGCCATTCCCCATGCTTGTTCTACTTCAGATCCTCTTCACTAAAATCTGCTTCATTTTCAGTGATATCGAATAATTTAATTGGAATTTTTCTTAGCTTAAGAGCTTGAAGGAGGCAACAGAGAAAGCAGAGGCTGATACTTGACCGTTTAGTGCCCAACAACCACATTAGGCCATTGAAAGGGAATTTGCCAAAATATTGAAATTAAAAGAAGACAGGCCCTTCTTTGAACATCTTTCCTGCAAACTGGTATGATATAGCTTTGTCATTTCCAATTCAGGATTTCTAAATCAAACAGCCATCTTTATAAAAACCTGAAATAAATCAGTTTTCCTTTTAGGAGAGAGTCCAGTGAGAGTAGCAACACACATAACCACTGGAACAAAACTGGTCTTAATCAAACCAAGCAAAAATGGAAAATCTAACTTCAGTGCTTTTGGTACAGAAAGACATTACAAATAATAATAATTACAAGTACTTTCAAATTAGTACAATCATTACTTTTAGGGGTTTCCATGGTTTTCTTATCAAATTCCATAGCTTCTTCTAAATTGCTAATTTGAGATTCATCATCAAGAGAGTTGGAAGACTTTAAGGGAAATTCTGCTTCAGTAGAAGACATCGGTTTCTCATTGTAGATCAATCTATCCAGTGTATACAACTAATGTTGGATTCTTCTGAATAATTCTCTAACTCTAAGTAGTCCAGGCCAGAGATAATGTCCTGTGATACAGGCTGCAATGACGGTATGTGATTCATTATGAGCCTCAGCATACACTCTTCTTAGCTTCTGTGTAAATGCCATATTCATTTTCGTCATTTAGTTGCTCATCCTGAGACTCAACCTACATAGGTATATTACTAAAGTAACTTTAGCCCAATACCCAATAAGTGGTTTTTTCAAAAGAAAATGAATTATATTTTGTGAAATGTAATAAATTCCAATTTGTAGATTTTAATTTCATGAGTTCTACCACGTGTGCCATGTGGGTACCAGATTAAATTGATTTTCGGGAATTTTATTTTTGTGAATCAGGACTTAAGGAATCCATGAAATTTGCAACCCTAAAAACAACTTATGCAGTAGCCTATGGCTAAGGTCATGTAGTCCCACCCACGCACATGATTATGCTCATTAGTTATTACACAGTTAGTCTATGACAAAAAATGTGTCCAACGTACACTGTCGGGATCCTGTGGAAATTTACGAGAAGGCAGCTCTTCAGCCTCTTCTAGAGGCTGGGAGCTCTCAGGATTAACAGGATCTGCTACTCTCACCAAACATCATGATTTCAGTAATAACCAAACATCCCATAATAAAGAAATTATTCTTATAACTAAATTATGAAGTGGCTTGTCAATAAAAATTTGGGTTAAAAGTTAAAATTCAAAAAATCAAATCCAAAATCCTTTGTTCTAATAGCTTCAAGCCAGTCCTCATGTAAAGCTATTGCTGCACCAGCATAAAAGCCTCCTACAGCAATTAAGGAGCTTAAAAACTTGTGGCAGTATTCTTCAATTTGAGGTAACCTCCTTTGAAATCTAAGACCAGCCTTGAATTCAGCAATTATGTTGGCCATTGAAGGGTTATTTTTGACTGCATCAGTGATAATCTTTTTTGCAAAAAGCTGGTCAGCAAGCATTGAGATAGCATGGCAGGGTAGGGATGTGAAGTCAAAATATTTAGCATCAAGTACATTATAAATCTGTTTCTTTAATATTTCAATATTATCTGTACCTATATATATAATATAGAAACAACTCATATGAACATGGAATAGATTGTTACATGCTGCATGTAGTAGTACGTATATACCAGGTATTAACTAACAAACAATATATACTGACTTGTAGATCCACTAGCTCCTGGAGTGCTGCTAGACTTCATAGAGTAATCACTGGAGATACCTTCTTGATTAATAGTAAAATAAACAAACAATTGAACTGATGTAATTAATTACTTGTTAATTGAGAAGTTGATTTAATAATATATAGCGTCACAGGATCAACTATACCCTCCACTGGTACAGGATAACGTAATGTGGGAGAAGCATCAGGAGATGCATGAAGCGTTACCAGGCAATATGGAGGAATAAGATCAACATCACCAAAGTTATCAACATCACAACGACGTAACTAGAATAGCTATATGCAACTTGTAATTATTCATAAGGGCTTACTATGCAGGGTTTAGTGTGGGGCATAATTTCCCATCCATTTATTCTCAGATCAGCATCAAATTTCAATTCAATAAATAATTGTTGGAATCTGAAGGTTTCCTTTGCTCCCTTTTTAGCTTGGGGATATTCTTCTTTAATATACTATATAAAAACGTTATAGCATAATACTTACATCTTAATTAATTTACCTGAAGGAGAGCATTTAAATTTTTAGCTGAAGTAAATATTATTGAATCTCCATCATAATACATCAAAATGGTATATTTCATTTTCTCTTTTACCTCAGTATGCCCGTTTTCACACATCAACACCTCTTCTTGTGATCTATGATAACCTATATAAATAATTACTCATTATACAATAGTTATTATTCCCAATCATAGTAGAGTGTATGCTTGGCCCATTGCTCAGTTTCATTCTTACTCCAAACAGGAGGACCTTCCCTTTGAAGGTCTCCTTCCTCTTGCTGTTCATCTTGTGACTGTGATTGATCTCCTTTCTGCAACTGAACTCCTTGTTGCAGTTGCTGTCCTTGTGATTGCCCTTCTTGTCCCTCCTCTCCTTGTTGTCCATTGGTTTGTTCATTAACTCCTGGTTGCTGTTGCTGGGCTAGTACTGTTAGTGCATCTCCTCCTTGTTCCTGTTGTCCTTCTTGTGTCTGTGATCGTTCCCCTTCTTCTGACGGCTCTCCTTGGGTTTGTGGGTTAACTACTGGTTGTTGTTGTTGAGGGACTGGTGCATTTCCTCCCTGAGCTGGTACTACACCTGCTCCTTGAGATCCTGTTCCTTGTTGCTGCTGACCTCCTCCTCCTCCTCCAGTCATAGATACTATTAGCAATCCCAGTATGCACACCAAACAGAAATCTTTACGCTCAATGAATCCATACACACCATCAGAGCTAAACTCTCCTCCCTCAACTAATTTGAACTGGTAAGGAAGACTGGGTGTGTTGACTGGAGCTGTAGCAAACTTTAAGTATTGTGCAAGATCTGGTTGTCCTGCTAAATCAATGCAGTGCTGTATCTCTAACTTGAGTCGTTTGAGGAGAGGCTTTGAGAGTGATACTGCATACACAGCACTCACTAGGACAGTATTAGGAGGAAACTCGAACTGTCCTCCTACAAGAGCAACCACTGCTGCTTCTACTGTCTCAGAGGACAATAGGCTTCCTTCTTGTACTCCAATCCTTAGACCATATTTCTCCCAATTCATCAGTTGAGGTTTGTCTCCTTGAATTAAGAACAGCTTCTTCTCTGCTACCTGAACATCACTCAGACATTGCAAATTATCTAGCATTACAAATACATTTGCATGAAGCTATTATATCTTACCTATTGAAGGGATCATGTAGTCAAACTGTACTGCAATGTCTATTCCAGCGGATGCACTTACAGTCTTCTTATTGCTAAATTGATTCTGCTCATGTAAAGATTTCTCCTTCTCTACAATTTCTTGACCATCTTGATAACCTAAACAAAACGCACCATAGTCCATATAGGTACAAAATTTACAAAGTTAAATTCTAAAAATTTCTAAGCAAATATCATGATATTGGATTGAAAATTGAAATCCAGATCAATAAAATGTGTGGTTGTATGTGGTATATGTACACTGAACCCTACAGCATGCATGCAGTATGTGTCAATAATCATTACTATTTTAACTAAAGTTTTTATATGCACACTGACTTTTCTGAGAATCGAGACTTTCAATTTTTACAGCAATACTTTCACACCCATTTTCCCTTAGTGTGCTTAAGAGAGAATACTTAGTAGGATTTTCTGTTTGTCCTTCCCACAAAAGTAGCATCCACATCATTGCCTTCTTCCTGCTGTCATCATCTTTTGGACTAATCAATAATTTACTGTCGTCAATGTTCAGTGCTTTTTTAAAGGCATCAAAATCATATTTGTTTGTAATAATACTAGAAATTTCTTCAAATTTCAGTAATTTATCTAAAAACATTACATTAATAAGCAATAATTAAATTAACACATACTTTCATTCATTCTTGCTTCACTACCTTTGCTTAACAATTCACACTACATAAAAAAACAAGATACAGAAAATTAAATACACAACTCAATTTAGGT